ATTAACTTTATCATTCATATCCTTACTCATGAGCGAATCATCATAGTTCTCTTAATGATTCAAAAACTTTTCTCGACATTGGCCGTGTGGGTGAGGGTGTGGGTGTGTCGAAGTATATTAAGATCAACACTCATCCGTTTGATTTGATACAGTTCACTGTTAAAGTCGTCATCTCGATGATTTTCACCATGAGCACTGGTTATTGCTAATAGGAGCAAAATTATTACCACTAGTCACATCATTCTTTTCGTTTCTCTAGATGAGGCGAGTTGAATCTAAAACATCATTTTGAATACGCTCTGCGCTTGTATTCCTCTAGTCATTTGCGCCAGCTCTCGTACTACTTCGTAATCCAATCATAGCGTCCTCTAATACTACAAAAATCAAAATGTTGAATGATTGTATTTGTTCGCTGTAACAGAAAAAATCCGATGGACAACACTAGGTACAATGGCATTTTGGGATCTTGTCTTGAAATGAAGACCGACATGAGTATTTCGTCACTAACCGTCTCAAACGATTTCCCAACGTCTCACCTGTGTCATTAAAGAATAGAAAACCGAAATGCTCATTGATTGCTACTGTTTGGGTCGAGCAAATACGAAATGGACGGTCTTCAAATAGGATGTTGCAGTGGGGGGTGTTGGTACAGGTATGAATGAAGGAAAGACCTGAGCGCACATCTGTACCCCACCCTCATCTGAATATCTCATCACAACCAATGAAGAGGCAGCTAAAGAACAATATGCACTCTCTGAATAAACAGACTGGTACACTTGAAGAGTTTTTAGTCCACTGATCCGGCGTCAAACAGATTGTCACTTTCTCTTCAAATCACTATAATAGTTTGTCGGCAGTGCAGAGCACGTTGCATCGAATTCGAAATTGAATTGCTGAAACGATTAAGACAGAAGCCAAACGTGGACAATATCTCTATTCCAATGAAGAATATTCTGTAGCAGTAGCAATGATGAAAATGGCAACAGATAAAGATTGGAGAACGTTGGTGAAAGAGCAAGTTTTGAGCCTATTGAAAGTAATTATGCTAGGTTTTGGATAGATAAGAACAAGAAACTAATATTCTTTTAACAGTAAGATCTTATGTGATACATATTCGAATGGATACAGATCATATACAGTAGAAATCGAGATTGCAACAGAATTGAGTAGATTCATATTTATTTTATTTGAAATTTATTGAAAATTATTTTTAGAAATAAATAATCATCATTATGACAAAAAATGACTGAGCAGAAAAAAAAGCTTTTTTAATAAGTCAGAAAATAGAAAGTGATAGTATCATGCTTATAAATGATATACACCTTTTTTTTACTTCTGTTATCTATCTACGATATATAAAGAAGAAGGTAAAAAAGTGCATATATTACAGTTTACACGAGAAAGAAAGAAAGAAAATTAATGCTTGTTTCACAAGGACACGTTATTATTATAACCATCGGATATTTATTATTGTAAGTTCGATTCAATGTTTAGATTCAGTTTTTTTCCAAAGTCTTTGTATTCTTAGTGCAACAACTGGTATAACAGTGGGTAATAAGAAAAATATATTTTATTTCTTTATTTGACGCTCTTTTTTTAGCCCAATTTGACTCTGATGGTCAACAAAAACAAGGAAAATGTAAGTGGAATAAAAAAAACAGTTATAGACATCACTAAACGTGTATCATGTCCATTCGATGCCAATAAATTATGACTTTTCAAAGTGACTGATGTCTTGTTTAATTTAAATTTTTTTTTCAAACATGGTTCTATCTCTGATTTTCGATGCAGTAAAGTTTTGTTTTTCTGTAGGTCCCGATGATCTTAAGTGGAATTCGAATGGAATAACAGTTGTTGGAAGTGATACAGCTGGAACATCGTCGAATCAGTTAAATGGACCACGTGGTTTATTTTTTGATCAAAAAACACAAATTTTATACATTGCCGATAGAGATAATCATCGTATACAACAATTACTACCAAATGGTCAAATAAAGACAATAGCTGGAGATCCAAATGGTACTCCAGGAAATAGTAGTGATCGATTAAATCAGCCATCAGCTATTTATGTTGATGAAAATCAAAATTTATTTATTGCTGATACCAACAATCATCGCGTACTAAAATGGGAGAAGGACTCATCAAGTGGAATTACTATGGCAGGTGAAACAGGAAATCCAGGTTCAGGTTTAGATCAATTAAATAGTCCTCAAGCAATATGGGTTGATTCAAAGAATAATTTGTACATTGCAGATTTAAGAAATCATCGTGTGATGGAACGGTCACCTCAATCAGAAGGTATAGTGGCAGGAGGAAATGGACAAGGTGATTTACCGAATCAATTGAACGATCCTGTAGGATTGTATTTTGATGAATCAAATAATGATTTATATATTTCAAATTATCTTGGTCATTCAATAACAAAATGGAAAATAGGTGAAAAACAAGGTACATTTATTGCTGGTACGCCTGGTAACAATGGTAACAGTTCAACACAATTTTTTAGTCCATCTACCGTAGCATTAGATACAAATGGTAATATGTATATTGCTGATACTTCTAATCATCGTATTCAATTATTTTGTCATGGTTTATCAAAAGAAGGTAAAACAATTGCTGGTATAACAGGTCAAAGTGGTAATAATCCTAATCAATTAAATTTTCCTCATGATTTGGCATTAGATACACAAACATTAGATTTATATATTGCTGATAGTGATAATAATAGAATACAAAAATTTTCTTTTATTTCATCATCATCAAAAAGTATAAAAACAATGATAGAACGACAATTGATATTAGTGTTAATAATAATAAGCTTTGTTTTATTTTATTGATTATCACGAAAAATGATCCAAACATCCTTCAATTATTGAATAAACAAGCAGACAAATATTTTTTTGTTTTGGCGTCTTTTTTTCATGTGAAGCTTTTTTTTTTCGTTAACGACCAAATACAATATTGATCAGTAAAATACATCGGTATTACCTGCGAAATAGTGACTGTAAGACATGTTTCAACTCACTTCTTCTGTCATTCATAGAAATCAAAGACCGTCACAGGGCAGGACAAAAACCTAATTTTTAGCTCTGTCCTGGTTGTCCTGCTAACTTTTTCCTAGAAATATTAATTAAAAAAAAGATTTTCCATAGAATATCTATCGTTTATATCAAAAATAATTAAAATAACTATCAACAAAATCTTATCTTAAATTTGATTCTTTCATAGCTTACCATATAGTGCAACTTTTCAGATTTTCATCGGTTTTTTTGTTGTTTCTGATATGTCATCCATGTTTGTTATTGTACATTGAGTTTAGTTGATAGATGCTTCAATTTTATTTCAATATTCTATTATTCTCATATATGGGCGTATCCATCAAGATGTCCAAATAGCAATCACATTTTTTAATTCCTCCTTCTTGTAGAACCCTATTAACAAAAGCTTAAGATTCAGCCTATACGTTTTAGTGCACAACTTTTTATTGTGTTATATTAAATAAAACTTTATTAACTGAGCGTACCAAAGAATGAAATACCGTGGATACAACTCAAACAAAAGCAAAACGCACTTTCGAATGAGCAACAAACAACGGTACAATCTATTATAAGGTTTACTATCGTAAAAAAGCTAACCGCATAGGAAATTAGTCATTCTACTAATTTAAAATAGAATAAGCGCATAAATTTTCTATTTTGTATGACTCTTTTCAAGAATAGAAATGCGTAACAAAACAGGTAAACAAGGATTTGTTTTACGAAAATTATAAGCACTGATGGATGATAAAGAGCCGAACAGTTAGAAAATACTAGGTAAGATGAAATACACACAATAAGAAGATAATTGACATGTTTTAGAACAACTTCCATAACTATAGTTGACAATATTGTTGCTGTCAATCCCATTTTACTTATAGTCACCATTCAAGCACCGAATGTCTCTTCCATATAATTTATTCATTTGTGAAAGATTGAACATTGAATTCGATCATGAATTCCTTTTAAAAATGTTGTTCAAAATAAACTTTGCTTCAAAAATTCGAAAAAAGGATGTGAAAACCTGAAATATCAATAGCAAACGTTCGAAGGGTCAGAAATGTCTGAACATTCCATTATTTTTATGCAGATATATCTAATTTTGATTAAATCCTCCTCATTGCTATCTTGGTGTTCTCCATAAATATCTCATAAAACTCTTCGAAGTAATATTAGTAAAAGACGAGTATTATATATTGAAATGACCACGATATTTTTATCAGGTTCTCAGTTCGTTTAATTCTGAAGCTCGTTTATATGCCATGCGCGCAGGGCAGGGCAGGGCAAAAAAAGTGCCCTGTGACGGTCTCTGGTGTAGAAATCGAAAACTTGATTCGACTTGCAAATTTTTTTCAAGTTTTCAGCTATTCTTGTCGTCCATGAAAAATGATTATGTTCAAATTAGTAGTTGTATTTGATGGTTGTGATATCAAATCCTTGACAATATACTTTTAGTCGATGCAATATCTAACGATCAGCTCTTTTCGAAAAAATCTGAATATAACAAATATATTTTAGCAAGTCTGTTTCATATAAAACAAAAATAATATGAGTTAAGGCTTAGAATAAATCATTGTCTTTCTCACTTCATGCTTGACGCAGTAGCCTCAGCAACAATGGAATTGCTGTCCATCATGATTGTAACTGGTCCAGGGATGCCACCTCATGAAGTCGAAAAAGCGGAAAATTGCGGAAAAAAAGACCGAAAAAGCGGAAAAAAAGCGGAAACTTATTTCGTCGCGGATTTTTAGCATTTATGAGAATTTTGAGTGTTTTTCATATCTATAGCATTCTGCTTTTATTTTAACAAAATTGCAAAACATAAAATATTGTTGAAATGAATAAGAATGACTATGCTTCACTCCATGGTATACGAAAGTACCCTCTTCAGCTGCTGTTTTTTTTCAACCTCCTTGTTAGATTTGATAGTTAATGTTATCAATTGTCGATTTATACGAAATGATTTTATGTTGTTGTTGTGTCTTTCAACTTTATGTGACGATCAATGTTATTTTTTCCACCGTCCTGTACTGAAAAATGTTCATTAGAGGCAATACAAAGAACTTTAGCTGAATCTGGTTTATACTCTCGTAAAAATGATGCGAACTGAGGACTAAGTAGCCATTGTGGATTAAACATGCCTTTTTTTCTCTTTTGATAACTACCTAGTATGGCTTCAACATTTTTATTTTCATTTGATTTCAGAATTGGTGATGCTGTTATTAAATTCTCACGATCTGTTTCATCTTCATTTGTAATCTCAATATCTGTAGATCATTAAAAAACATTTATATTTTTGGATTCGCGATTATTTTGCGTACATACAATAGGCAAAATAAGTTGAAAAGGAGTTAACTATCAATTGGAAGCAGAATGATATTTTAAATTCTCAAACAGACAATTAGTGCACAATCCCTCTAACATAGAAAAGCTTTGTGTTCGTCCATTGATTTTATGAATGACATAATAAGAGTGATGATTAACTGGATACGTAAACAGTAAGACTTTATTCGACAATAATAAGTTTTGCTCTGTACGTATTTTGAAAACACATCACCTTTTTATATCAAAAAGCGGAAACTTTCCGCAAAAAGCGGAAGAGGTGGCATCCCTGGTAGAGAGCTACAGAAAGAACTGAGAGACAGAGATAACAATATATTACACAGAAAGCGAGCAATAGTGAGTGTCGACGGGTGTTACAGAAACGCAAATCCAAATCTATGATTGTTAAAAGATGGTCTTAAAACAAGCAACTGTACAATTTATACGGGGGTTTAACTAGTTGTCTACATATTATCTCAAAACTATTACATTATCAACAAACTTAAATCGAGTTTCATAATGCAAATAATAATATAGAATTTTATTCTTAGAATTAAAAAGCTTTTTTTTGATATTTAAAAAAACAAATGAATAATCATCCATACCTCGCATTTTGATAATGAGAAATGTATGACCAAGATGAAGGCGACCATCCATATAAGGATATGGAAATGTAACGAAATATTTATTTGAACTAAAAAAAATAAAATCTTGTTTATTGATAAATAAAAAGATTGTTAACAAACTTGTCGGTCCATTCAGGTGGAGCATCAGCTTGAAAATATTTCGATCGGATCATTGTTTTTGCATCTGAGTTTCTATTTTCCGAATAGCATCGAGTTTACTAGTAGAACGTTTTTCTTCAATATTCATAGATGAACATACTGAACCAGTATTTTCACAATCCGTTTCAATTTTTATCTTAAATAACAAATATGTTAACATATTTCATCATCTTCAATAGATTTTATAGCAAACTACAGTTGATTCAATGTCAAAACTGCGGAAAACTCATTCGTATGAAGGAATATGACTCATATATATATTTTTATCATTGATGAAAATAGAAGGAAGAAAAAAAAAGTATTTTCGAGTCATTGACAACTATTATGATGACATCTTCACTGAAAAAACTAATCGTTTAATCTGCTTCGTATTGTAATATCAATATCTATTCTAAATTGAAAATGATATTTTCGTTCCTTCCCTTGAACAAAAGTGAAAACTTAAATTTTTAAAAACTATATTTTTCTACACTGGGGGTCAAAAGTCTGGTCCCACTTTTTTGTTTTGAGTCGTGTATTAAAACTACACAAGATTAATTTAATTCAATTATATGTTTGGATAGCAGAGATCGAGTACTATATATATATACACCTGTTCAATTCGAAAACCTCTTGAATATAAAATATAATAAGAAAAACAAACTCCGGTACTAAGAAAAAACTCACATAAAAAACTACAAAATGATATTGTTGTTATAGGATACTTCCATGAACACTCAACCAAAAAGTATTCAGAAAACTTTTCATTTTATCAAACTTTGTAGAGCTTTTTTCGCTGATCATTTTGACCTAAAAGTATTTTGAATTTCATTGAGAAATGATGGTACTCTAGTCAAAATACTAAATATCAGATGTTCCAAAATGTTTGCAGCATAGCTTGTTTTGCGAATATCTCTGCATAGACAAATGATAAAATCTTAGTTTTTCTTTCAAAAGATGCACCATGAATAGCTCTACAAAAACTGTAAGAACAAGACCCCATTGACTTCTTTTGATGGTTTCTTCCATACTCAAAATGAAAAGAAAATACATGATAGTTCTACTTTTCATCATATTTAACATAATAAAAATGTTTGGAAGACATTTATATTTTGCATATATCTCGGCTTAAGAAGACGATAACGTCGTGATTTTGTTTTCAAAAGATGCGCCGTCGAAAGCTCTATAAAAGCCATATGAAGAAATTCCTATTGCACAACAAAAAGTGTTCCAAACATTTTTATTATCATTTTTGTAGTTTTTTATGTAAGTTTTTTCTTAGTACTGAAGTTTGTTTTTCTTATTATATTTTATATTCAAGAGGTTTTCTAATTGAACAGGTATATATATATAGTACTCGATCTCCGCTATCCAAACATATAATTGAATTAAATTAATCTTGTGTAGTTTTAATACACGACTCAAAACAAAAAAGTGGGACCAGACTTTTGACCCTCACTGTATTTTTTATTTTTCATCTAAAAAATTCAATTTGTACTAGCATTAAATCTCGCATTTCATAGAAAAATAGAACAAAAATTTCGTTCGTTGTTCTCTTCATAATTGACATTCAAAAACAGGTTATTATATCATATAATTACAAATACATACTATTAACAATCTTTTTTTGTTTTAAATTAATATAGAAATAAATTCAAAGTTAGAAGAAAATAATACAGACACACACATCAAAATCTGTGTTATATATATATTTATAAAGAGTGTATATTAAGAAACATGGAAAAAAAAGAAAGAGATTTTTGATAATTATTTAGGTCAATATATGGTTACGACAATCTTAAATGACGAATATGTATTCTTTTTTGTCTACGAATGTAATGCGTCAGGTTTTACGACGTTAACTAAATATAGAAGTGATATACTGATTATTCATATCTATGAAAAAAGAGAGATAAATATATTTACTATGTAAAGATTCTATTTCTTTTTTGTTTTTTGGAAGATAATTTATTGAAAATTACTAACAAACTAAATAATTTTAATTAATCATCATCATAAAAATAAATGGAATAATTGTTCTATTCATAGTAAACGAATTGAAAGGGAATAAAAAGAAATTGAGATAATTTTAATTATCTAATTTATTTTCTATTTTATAATAATAACTTCTATTATCTCTTTGAAGACGAAATAGAAATAAATTGAAAATATTATATCATTTTTATTATTCTTCGATAAAATACCATCGTTACTATAAAACGCATTTAGATTAAAAAAATCTTTCCGACATAGTTTTGCGTATTTTAAATTGTCATAGACCCAATACAAATAGATAAAAGTGAGTGTATTTTTTTCAATTATCTAGTCAGGTGAAAATGTGTCTAGAGATAAGTTATCGACTGTGCTGATTATCATGGTCATGTCATGTTAGCAGAAGGTTAATAGAAGCAAGACAATGAACTTCTTGAAATATGCTTTTTTACGCGTTAGTTAGAGAGAAACCATTATCAATCTTCCAAGAGCAAGCTTCTTTTTCTTTTCATTAGAATTCGACAACAAATACATAGAATTTTATATCATTTAAAATTGCTGATATCGAAGTTTTATCGGCAGACGATAACAGCGGATTATTCCTTTTCTTCTTGTTTACAAATAAAACTTCGATGTCGACACTGTATGTACTTTTTCCATTTGTTGTATCGAGTTCATCGTCAAAAGAACAAATTCCATTTATACACATTTTTGAATTTTCATCGCAGAAACGATTATCTGCTTGTTGACCTAACGTAAACAGGAAAGAGATATTTGCAGTCAAACTCATATTTTAGAAAAAAAAATTAGACACGTACATATTGTTTGTTTCTCTAACTCCGTACCATTAGTTGATAATTCTCTAATGTTAATAATAATATAACTATTGATGTTCTGATTTCTATCAATGTACACAGACGAATTAAATAGATATACAGTACGGTTTCTATGAATCCAAGGAAGATAACCATGTAAATCAATTCTTTGATGTATCCTAGAGAGTTTTGAATCATAGGAAACAAAATAACAATTATCATTTAATAGTTGCATTACCACACTTCCATTTTCAACTATCCAATATGTTCCGGATAAATTTTTACAACGATCATTAATACACTCATCATTAATCAATAGATTTTTATTTTTCGCTACCGTTCCATTTGGTAAGATTGCACCTTGATATGTAAGTGCCGTAGCCAGCTGCTCATCTGTAATATTTGACTGTGATAAATTAGCATTCTGTAAATTAGTAGAATCGAAACGTGCATTTTCAAAATTACATTCAACTAATTTTGCATAACTAAAATCAACATCCAATAAATCTACTGAACTAAAATCTGCATGTGTACAATCAGTTTGTGCAAAATCTGATCGATAGAGAGTTCGTCTTTGAAACGATGCATTTCGTAGGGAAACACCACGTAAAGCCATATGTGTATGATAATAGAAATTTGATGTAAGCTGTGTATATGGTGATCGTAAATCATTAAAATCAACATTATCTAAATTTACATCTTCTAATGAAATAATTGGAATTCCAGAATTAATATCAGTTCTAATTAATTTGGCTTCATATAGAAATAGAATTATTTCACGTTTTCGTTTCACATCTACTTGTCGTAGAACACTCATAGTTTTTGCACGTAATAGAGGATCTAATGTTTGATTTGAAAACATTAATGTAGATATATCATTTAAATATTCTGCTAAACGATTGTCTTGCCTCTCTTCATCAGCTAAATAACCAGTTTGTTCACGTTCACGTTGTGCAATATCTAAATCTTTTTTACGATTTTCCTTTGCATCTGTAGTGTTTTGAATAGTTAACATAAGAGTTGCAAGACCTAACATCAAAGGAACCAAAAGTACACCGATAACTTTCAGTATATCTTTCAATCGCATATGACAAAATGGAGATTTAGGCAATCTTGATTCGATGTTTGTTGAATTATCAAAAAAAGCCTGAGGTAGTAAAAATGACATGCCCCCAGTTGTCTGAGAAACAGACCTCTGACGAGCCGACATGATCTAAAAAAGAGAATAAACGCTGTATTACTATAGGAAATGTGTTTAACATTATACAGGAACAGACGTATGAGATAACCGTCATCTAATTGGAAAAAAAGAATTGCATCTATAAAATTCAGGAAAGAGGTAGGTTTTACTACTTTTAGTTAGTTCTAAACCTCTTACTTCGAAGTTACATCAACAAAAAAAAACATGCTATTGTAAGATAGCGTATAGAATCTTGTAAGAAAACGATATTTAAAGAAAAACTTTTAACTTCAAAATTTAAAATCTATTCCTGAACTAATGTTACGCCTAGCATTCACAAGCAAATAATTCTTGATAGTCTCCATGTCGTGTTGGTGTACAATCGTAGCAAATCATCGCTACAATTGTATAGGCTGGTGGTGTAGAAGAATAATTCGTCCATCTTGTTGGCAAAAGGGAACAGCCAGCTTCTATCCATGGACCAATAGTTTCTAGATCTGAAGAAAGAGAAAGAGAGAGAGAGAGGTAGGAATAAAATGTACTTGAAAGTTTCAAAGTATATGAGTATCACAGCACTTACTTTCATCGTTAATGATATCGCGTAGACGTTTTGTGCGAAAAAATCTATTTGTTGAATCTCTTTCATACCTCAACGGTTCTGTTAAAATTACTGTATTCCACGATGTAAGTATTTTACCAGTGTTACATTTCGCTTTTGATTCATTTAGTGGAAGATCAACTGGACATTGTGAAACATTATTTAGTGTGATTTGAACACCGATATCCCACGAAGCTGATAGAGGACCACGTGGACCACGGCCAACAACGGTTTGAGCATACTTTGATGATGAAGTTGAGAGAGAAGACTGACGTTTTTCACAGATGAATGGATGAGGATCGACAACCGCTTGAATGGCTATTAATATGAGTGTAAAAAGTATAGGTGTTGATTGCAGCTTCATGTTTTTTATGATTGCTCTATTACTTTAACTGAAAGCATTTTTTATAGTAATTTGACTCCAATGTGAAATATTTCATTGATAATTTATTACGCACTTCTTTTTTTTGCCTTCGAATCAATAATAAATCTTGAGTCAATAAAAGCATATGTCTTCTATATTTATAAATTGTAAATATATAGATTACTCATAAACTTGTCAAATACATACTTGGTTACTTTCAACAAAAAAAAACCAGGTAGAAATTTTAAAAAAATGTAATTTATGATATGCTCTCATTGTCACATAACTTATCTATGTAGAAAGCTATTTTCCTGAGAGATTTATTGATTATAATATTTAATTAAGATCAGTGAGTAACTGCAAAAGCACGTTACAGAGACATTAAATGCACCCTTTTCACCTCTAATCATCTTAGAGAAGTCAATTCAACACAATCAACTTATTCATTCTCTCATGTGGACAGACTAGTGACGAGATCTTGAGGCTACTAGTGCGTCACTAGAAACAAGAAGTCGTACCAATATTATAAATGATAAACGTTTTGGACTGCTGTAAGCTTCTGATCATTAGACTCAATCAGCTGGCAACAAAATTTATCTACACATTTCATTCAAACCGCTGAAGAGACGTGCCATCTCTCATCACTCTCTCTCCTCTTGTGTTTATTCCAATGAGATAGACTATTGACAAGATCAATGTGTTCTTTCTTACTCTTAACTGTAGTGCTTCCTTTTTATAATAGATATAGTCATGTAGTGTAAACAGTCGTTTTCCTCTGTTGTCGTTTACAAATAAACCAGATTGTTGCTCAGCTCCAACCCTCTTTTGTAAGTTACAGATATAGTGAAAGTCAAGGTTGTTACTTTCTGTTAGGACTTTTAATATGAAAAATTCTGATGATCTTCTATTTAAGCACGTAATCCAAGCCGAATTGTATCAACTGACTTTTATTTAATGAATGTCACTTTCTTAATTTTTATTTGAGAGGCGTGAACGTGAGTGTGTGGGTGTGGGTGTGGGCACCGTTGACGAGAAGATGTAGGCGTAGCTACTTTAGAAGAATATCGAAAACGAGGATATTCACGAGAACTTCTACGCATGGCTATTGATAAAATGGAACAAAACAATGAGTTTGATGTATCATTCTTGCGAACTTATGTACCAAAACATTATAGTGTTCTCGGATGGGAATAGATATCTATTCCATCTCCTATTATTATAGAATGGAAAAACTTTAATTTTGAAAGTAGCAATGTTGAGTAGCGATCGGCAGTGGACGTCTTATCAACAGATGGACAATTTTTACTTGAAATACATTCAAACAAACCACGCACATATTAGTTCGAGCGGTCACCATTGACCATGTTTCAATATTGGACCTGTTGGGACTGGCGTCAAGAGATGGCTATCATGTGCATTTTAAGGGATGAACAACCACGATATGTAGTCATTAATAATCCAGATGATCATTTTGATATTTATGCATCCGAATGGTGAGCATCAAATGTCGAGCTCGAGAAAAAACTCTTCAAACTAGTAGCAAAAGAAATTCGACGACAGCACCCGGATACAAAATATATTCGGTTTTATGGCCTTCCACAACATATGAACCTAGAAGAACTCGAGCAATGGTGTGGTACAGTAGTAATGGGACAAAATTATGACACTATGATTCGAAATATTAATGTTTTTGAAAGAATGAAAATATCTTTTTCAAGTGGAGAAGCAATATTGTGGCCTGGTGATTTCTTTTAATAAAAACACTTGATGATGGGCATCTAAAATATTCCACTTTTCTTTGTTTGTACTTACTTTATTGAAATATAGATTGAAGTAAAAAAATACGACTATCACGACGAGAACTGCTCGGCTCCTTTGCTTTTGAATAAGCTTGATTTTTTCCAGCAGAAAATGATCATGTCCTTACTTTCTTCAAAGAGCGATAATTATTCTAAAAACTCAACTCATTATTCGGCTTCCCCCTGCCTTTTGACTTTCATAGCAACCCTGGTAAAAAAATTTCTCAATAGAATATTGCATCAATTTGTTTTCGATCTGAAGAAATTTAAAAACTATTTATGGGTGTGTGTGAAAAGCAGACTCACACTTTCAGCTACATGATATGTGCCCACAAGGAAGATATGATTCAAATAAACTTTGCTATACATTTTGTGAAAATATGCACTCAGTTATTCCTCTGTCTGTGAGCGAGGAGAAAAACTAAAATCATACACCTCCCAAATGTACGGTGTATTATCGATCAACAATCAATTCGATTGTCCTATTTTTTCAGTTGGATCCATGCAGCATTTGAAATGTTGTTACAATCAATAAATAACTTTTGCACTATCTATCCAACCGAGAAAAAAAATATAGTCGATCAGTCACAAGAAAAGAAAATAATATATTTGTTACCTTGTTACGTTCAAGATTTTTGACGAGATGTTGAGTTCCTCTCTTGCTGATTTTATTCTATTACAGATCAAGGCAGGTCAATGTCTATGACAAAGAAACTAATTTGGGTGTGGAAATGGCTCTTCTCTTAAGCCATAACCTCACTGACATCCACACCCCAATTCTTCCATAATATGGTAATGATACATATTTCTGTTTTATCTAAATAGAGAGAAAAAACCCACAGAATTGATGACAATTCTATTTTACGATTAAAGAGATGACGAGAAGACAAAACGAATCTAACGATAGGAAAGTACTGCCAACAGACAATGACAAATCGTCAATTGAATTCATGCAAATGAAAAGTATCTTCCAAATAAAAGAATGACACGTACACCTACACCTCTCCACAAAAATATCATGTATGTCTCAAATTCATATTTGTCTTTGGCAATTTTATAGGCAACGAAATCGTTAACTGTTGATTATCATAGAGTTTCACAATTATGACATAGAGATTCGAAATTTTATTCAGATCTAGATTTAGTAAAAACGATTAGAAGTTTTATTTGTTAGCCGGTACTATAGTATCGTATTATTTTATGATTTGTTGTCGCAATGTGAAAGATGGTTGTTGTCTCTCCATTGGATGAGATCTTGTTGGGGATTATGTTTGTTTTGCGCTTCGTTGAATGCATCACATTCAATGTCGAGAACCTTGAGAAATTTCTGCAACGGTGCCACGAATGATTGAAGACGTGCGAGTTCATCCTCCTGACTTTTTTTGAATATAGCTGCTGTATTCGTATGATAGGTTTTTCTGGCTTCTACACAATCTTCTTCGGCCAATTTTATATTTTTTTTCAATTGTTTCAATTTTTTTTCTTTCTTCTTTTGTCGTGTTTTCAAATCGATCTTTTCTGGTTCACTCAAGGAAGTTTTCTTCAGATCCCGAAGGATGGAATCTAGACGCTTCTGACACTGTGTTTCTTGTTTCTTCAATGCGTTCAATTCGTCTTTGACTTCATTCAATATGACAAATTCTTCTTGCAGTTGATCTTGTAGCGATGGATATTGATCTTTTTTCGGCACAGATTTCGCAATTTGTTTTAGATTTGGATTGATATCATCCAATTCTTGAGCTACTTCATAGCCGATAGAGCTCGCAGCTATGAAAAGTTGTAACGTCGTTTCGTAGGATCTTAACGACGACTGATTCTGTTGAAATTTATTTTCCCATTTTTGGCTCCATTGTTTATATTCCTCGGAATGTCGCTCTCGCATGTCATTCATCTCTAGGAGCATTTCACGGAGTTTCTTTTGAAGTTTGAAACCTATTTTGAAAAATGATTGAACATGTCAATCAAAAATATGAGCAAATTACCATCAATTTGCTGTTGAACGCCGGGTGTGTAATCTACAGGATTCTCTTCGTTCAGAGTACTCGCTGTCTGTGGTGTGCTTGGTGAAGATGATGGAGAGACTGGTATGACCACTTTCTTATTTGATTTCGACACTTGTCGTTTGATGTATGCTAGCAGAGGCATATTATCTGTCTATACTTGTTTGTGAATTATCCGATAAAATGTCTACCACATGAATATATTTATAGTACTTATAATGTTGGAAATAGTGACGTCAAATGTAACACTTTGAAAGATATGATTGGAAGAAATCGTATATGTTTAACAACATAATTGGAAAGTTACACCAATATATGCCTTCTTTCTTTCAGAATTTACAAAAAAAAACTCATGGCACTGACACGTGTGTATTTTTGCTTTTATTCTTAAAAAAAGAATAGGAATTATATTGTGAGAATGAGATTATCGAAAAATATTTGCGAAGCTCTTCTTCAATGTGTGTGTTCTGCACTATTTTTTTTGCTTCTTGGTTATTAATAGAAAGAAAACAGAAAAAGATTTTGTCTATTTGTTGAAAGTCTAGAATGTTCGCGCAGAACGAAAAAAAAAACAAAAAAACTCACGTACAATGAGAGTCTTATAATCTGAATCTTTATGTGACACACAAAGAGCATGATGAATGTTTGGATTGGTCCATAAATCTAACTTGGTATTCTCCCCATTACTAAGGATTAATGACTCATATTTGTTTAGTGATAGTTTGTGGGGAAAAAACCAAAGACATACTACGATCGTGAAATGCAATGAGTCACTCAAGATGAATTCTGATTGACATCAATAAACAAATTCAGTGGAATAATAGGAAGTAAAAACAAATATATTGTAACGGAAGAGAATAAGTCGCAATAATAAAATATTGATAGAGTGTCATAGTTTAAACGTATATCGAACTTCAAGCAAATATATAACTAATTGATCAAATACATCTCGTATGAATAAATGAACTTCTTTTTAAAGAAATATGTGAACAAATAAATCGTTTGACATTCATCCCAAGAATATTTCTGCAAATTATGAGCATTCTTCTCAGTTGCTAAATTTGAATAGGCTGACTTTAGTAAATGAAGATAGATTCTATTTATCAAATATGAATCAATATACAAGTACTTCAATATGCTTATTGTATGTGATTGTAAATCATAAACGATTGATTTACGAATCCAATCGTGTCAGATTTGT